TGATTGTCAATAATATAAATATAATATTTATATTAATATGTATACATAGATGTGCATATATATATATATATAGAGAGAGAGAGAGAGAGGGTATATTTCTTTTACAACCTTATATATTTGTACAACCCTTGCAACCCAATTAATTGAGATATTTATATAAATGATGGGAGTTCATTTATTATGATTTAAATATTTAGGGAATATGAATAGAGTTCATTAATTATGATTAATATTTTATATTAGGAAACAATCAAAACTTCTATGAAATCACATATTCATCAAATGAAATGGACGGTTGAGATTGGGTTGTATTGGTTGCACAAATGTCAAGGGTTGTATAATAACCAACCCCTCTCCCTCTCTCTCTCTCTCTCTCTCTCTATATATATATATATATATATATATATATAGAAAGAGTTTGATTCAAATGTAACTCATATATTAAATACAAGGGTGTTTAAGTAATTTGTCATTTTATGTAACTCCCAAATAATTAATTGGAAGTTACAAATTTGAAAATATCACAATTGATCATGATGCAATATTGACATTGGGGTTTCACACGTGTTTATGTTCTAATTCACATTTATTTTAATCGACAGTTCTCACATTTGACATATGAACACATCAGTAATCACACAGCCTTAGATGTCGTGATTCATAAGTGTTCATGTATATTCAAGTCACTAGATATTCATATAAATACATACACACACACACACACACACACACACACACACACACAGAACATGTTAAAACATGTGAACACGTATGAAAAGACACAACCCTAGATGCCTTGGTTCATAGGTGTTCATGTACATACAACAGAGTTGACTCCTGAATATACAGAAGATATTCATACGGTTCACATATTGTTCATATGTCTAATCTTTTTTGTTTGATGGGGTTTTGAAGATATACACAAGTTGTTCATATGTCTGACAACTTGTGTATCAAAGATATATTACTTTTTACTTAAATACCCTTTGATATTTTGTTCACATATGTTAATTGAAAATATTAATTTAATAATTAATTTTTAAATATCATTAAATCACAACCGTTTATTATTCACGGTTATTTTCGTTTAATAATTAATTTTTTAAGTTACAGTTTTGTCCTCATAATTTATTATTCACGGTTATTTTCGTTCCTGACACTAACTTCATTAGTAGTAAGTATGGAAGGTGAAAACAACAATGAATTATAAACTAAAGTGCAAAAACAATAATGAATTGTAAAGTACAAGCACAAAAACATCAACGGATTGTATACTGCAAAGACGAAAACAGTAACTTCAACAAACCACATGGACAAAAAAAACATAGTTTACTCAAAATGAAAATTAGTATGGTTTATTAGAATAAACTTCTAGAGATCATATTTTAAAACAATACGTTCTAATATATATGATAAGGGTGCAAATTTCATTAGAAACCTAAAATTGATTAGGAACCCAAGAATCGATCATAGCGTATAATATAACATATTCATCAGGAATACAAATATGTTATTCATTATGAATAAAACATTCATATTTATCATGAATGCGTAATTTATGATGAATATCACATTCATAATAAATAACATTTTTATATTTATCATAAATGCATTATTCATAATAAATATTCATTTTGAATAGAAACATGTGACGTGTTATGAATGGATTCTAGTTTCTTAATTAATTTAGAGTTAGTCATGAAGCTTCCACTTGTATCACAAAACCATACAAAAACAAAGCTTTGAATGATTAAACAACCTTATTTTCTGCTATATTATTTCCATGACGTGTTACAAATGAATATTTGTATTAAATAGTAGATATAATTTCGAAGACAATGGAAAAAATATTATACCTATTTTTAAAAACCAAAAAATGGATAAAATGCAAGTCGAGCTCAAGTATTCGTATACTTGAGTAGAGCTCGATACTCATTTCCAGAGTTCGAACTCGACTCAAAAACTCGCGAGTAGTTAAAAACTAAACTTGACTCGAACTCGATCGTAATCTTTTAAACTTGAACTCGAGCTTGGACTCATTTGAAGCTCAGACCAATCTTAAACTCAAACCAAACTCATCTGTTGAAACTTGTGAAATTTAAAGGTCTTGTTTTATAAATTATAAAACTCAAGATGCACCTCAAGTTTCATCATCAAAATGTTAAAGCTACGAACTTCAATCATATCGTTCGCTTTTTATAAGGCTTTTCAACATTTTTTTAGTTTCTCTTTTCCAACGTGGGACAACTTTACCAATAGTTGTATTGTTTTTTTAGTTATGATTTTAATAAATTTTTTTGACTAATTTTCATTTTTTAAAAATGATTAATTTTGTTTAAATATCTAATCTATATGTTATTTTTCTTTTTATTGGTAAATTTATTAATAAAGTTTCACATTATATTTACAAATTATATAATAAAACTAATTCTATATAAAAATTCGAGTATCTCACGAGTTTTTCAAAGTCGAGTATTGGATAGCGCGACTCGACCCGTTAACACATGTCTTTATCTGAAAGATTAAAATAAAAAAGAATAATCGTCTCGTTTTCGAAAGGTAGAATTCTTATTTTTCCTTTTCAATATCGTCTTCCCTTTTATAATTGGAAGCTTGAGATTTTCTTAGATTTCTTTTCCTTTAATCAAATATTAAATTTGTAATTTAGGATCGTTTATCAAACATTTATCAGTAAGATTCTTGATCTTTGTAGGGTTGTTCGTTTACCTCTTAGTAGTTTCATTAAGAGACAACCTCTGAATCGTTAAGAGGTAAATCTTGTTTGGCAAAAAAAAGTCTGTCTCTTAATTGTTATAAAACCATCTGAATGATTTTGTATCATGAGTCCCTTAAACATTCAGTGCTCTAATTTATTGTAATTATATTTCATTTTGCACTATATCATTAGAGCCTCTTAATCATTCTAATCACTTAATTATTCTGCAACAAACCATTCAGCAGTTGTCAAACAGATAAAGATTCTCATCGACTTAAAACCAATCAACGGATCAATCCCGCCTCCTCTATTTGAATCCGAAAACTTAATAGTTCTTGCATTGTCTAGAAACAGTATGTTTGGGGAGTTGCCAGATAACATAGGAAACACCAAATTGATGGCGATCCTTGTGTTGTCAGGAAATAATTTTTCTGGAAGAATTCCAACTTCCATGTCCGACATCGTTAGGTGATCTCAAAAGCCTAAAAGTGCTCAATGTTTCACACAACATCATCTCCGGACACATTCCAATGTCTTTCGGAAATCTTGAGAACATAGAGAGCATGGATTTGTCTCACAACAATATCTCTGGTTCGATTCCTCAATCGCTAGAGAAGCTGGATGGACTCAGGATCCTAGATGTGAGCAACAACAGGTTGACAGGTAAGATACCCATGGGTGGGCAAATGAGCACGATGCGCGGGTTTCATTATTTTGCCAACAATAGTGGATTATACGGTATGTAGATTGATGTCATATGTCTAGAGAATGCAGATGATGACAAGAAAGATGATGACGAGAGAGTATCATGGATTTCCTGGGAGGGAACTTTTATTGGTTTTCCGATTGGGTTCTTCACCTCAATCTTGATCATTTGCTACTTAATGAGTTTTCTAATAGTGTTCAAAGTTTGGTAAAATATCATGTTATCATCAATTGGTAACCCGAAATATGTCATCCTATTACACTTTTTGCTGCCCCTGTAATTCGTTTTTGATATACCAATATGGGGGTTTCGTTCGGTTTCACGTGATGATTTCAATGATATAAATATCAGCGGCCTCACGTATTTCAATGTCGTTAGACATTGTTTCTACGACAAACAACAAATATCTAGGCGGGCGGGTTTGTAAGCGGGTTTACCCGTATGGAAAGTCGTTTTAGACGATGTCTCAACAATACCAAATAGAGACAAATGCGTCCTGTAGTAGAGGTGCAATTAATGCAATCGTATTCATTAGATCACGTCAAAATATATGTCATAATCTCATCTTTATACATATGATTAATATAATGATCAATCGGTGGGAATCAAAAATATAATAAAACAGAAAAAAAAGCATTTTAAATTAATGTTAATAAGCAAAACGACAAGTCAATGCGTTAAGAGTAAGCTTCCTCATGATTGTGGTAAAATAATCAAATTCGAAACACATAATCATTTAATGTTTGTTAAAATAAAAAATATATATTTTACATGAACACACAAACCCTCTTTTATTTGAATTCCATCGTCTTTTGCAATACACGATGTTCATCTTTTGAAACGATTAACCAATAAAAAATAACATGTATGTAGGGGCGGACCTATTACGAGCTGAGCAGGCTCCTGCTCACTCGATTATTGAAAAGAAAAAAAAGCATACGCCCGTTTGTTTCTTGATGGGTTCTGTTACTTTGAAAACATGGGACATACAAGAGGTTATGGATGTGAATCTTAGTTCAAATGAATGGCACCGATGAGGGTATTTAGTTATGCCTACAATGCTATTGCTAAATTCCAACCAAAAGAAACCAAGTATTTTTCATTTAAACTTGTACTTTGTTGACTTGACTTGGAAACGGTAAACCCACACAAATCCTTTTATAATAAACCTTGCCACCACTTTGTACAAACATAGAAACCACCATGGCCACCGCCATAGCCACACCACTCTTATTGCTGTTGATCTTCTTCATATTCATTAATTCCATTCCAATCCCATCATTATCTTGTCCACTTCATCAAAAACAATCACTTCTCCGCTTCAAAAATAATCTCATCACCAGCTTTCATTCCAATTCCAGCTTCAACTCTGAATATTTCAAGCCATTCGACTCATGGAATGCTAATTCCGATTGTTGCTCCTGGGAATATGTCTATTGCACCGGAAATACAACCAGAACCGTCACTGAGCTCTACCTATACGCCATTGTTCCTCAACTTGTCAATCCGGTTTTGGTGTTCTCTCACATCTTGACTCCGCTTTTCCATATCCGATCACTGAAACTACTCGATATCTCGATGAATGGGTTAGTAGGTGAGATGCCCATAGATGGATTTAGGAATCTCACTCAACTGGTCCATCTTTACATGATGCAAAACAACTTCAATGGCTCCATTCCTCCTCAACTTTTTGAACTCGAATCTCTTCGAGTTCTTGATCTAAGTTTCAATAATCTCCAAGGTGTTCTAAGTCCTAAAGTTGGTAATCTTCGAAATCTTATATCGTTGAATTTGAGTGCGAATTCTCTTACTGGGAACATCCCGGAAGAGATTGGAAATCTAACCAAGTTAAGAGAATTTTCCCTTAGAAATAATCAACTCTCCGGTGGAATCCCTCCTTCAATTGCAAACATGAAGGAGTTGGAAACACTTTATTTCTCTGAAAATTCATTCTCCCTGCACATTCCAACCGGCTTAGGAAGGCTACATAACATGAATACACTTGACCTGGGCGATAACCGGTTTGTGGGTTCGATACCATCATCGATACAAAACTTGAGCAAGTTAGAAACCCTTCTACTCCAAAACAACAACCTGCGCGGAGAAATCCCAACTCGCTTATTCGAAATCAAAACTTTAAAGAGTTTGTTCATCGGTGGAAAAGGAAACAACTTGATTTGGAGTAACACAACAAGGATTGTTCCAAGATGTAGGTTAGTACAAATGTCTATGCCTTCTTGTGGAATTTCTGGTGAAATTCCTATATGGATTTCATCACAGATAGATTTGGAATTTCTTGACTTGAGCCGGAATCAGCTGGAGGGAAGATTCCCAGATTGGCTTGCCAATATGGAAATTGAAAGCATAGTTCTTTCCGATAACAAGCTCACCGGATCAATCCCATCTCAAGTATTTAAATCAATAAGTTTAATGGTTCTTGATGTGTCTCAGAACGGTTTTTCTGGAGAGTTGCCACAGAACATAGGCAATGCGAATGGGACGGAGATTCTTATGTTGTCGGGAAATAATTTTTTGGGACAAATTCCAATGTCCATCTCCAACATGCGCTCGCTATGGCTTCTGGACTTGTCCAGAAATAGATTTTCCGGCGACAATTTCCCTAATCTCAGAGATAATCTAGTGTTATCTTACCTCGACTTGTCGTACAACGAGTTCTCCGGTAATATTCCAGTGGCTTTTCCCACAAAACTTCAAAATCTATTTCTAGGTAGGAACAAGTTTTCTGGTAACCTGCCCTGGAATTTGACTAAGTTAGTTAACCTCGAACATCTCGATCTTCATAACAACGATATTACGGGAAATTTTCAGGATACTTTGCCTCAAATCCCAACTCTTCAAGTCCTAAACTTAAGAAACAATTCCCTTGAAGGATTTATCCCAAGAACAATCTCCAACCTCACTTCTCTTCGGATTCTTGATCTCTCTAGGAACAACCTAACAGGAAGTATTCCGCAGGAAATAGGTAACCTTGCAAGAATGATAGAAGCTCCGCACATGTCAACATCCGGTTACGTGTTCACTATTTACATGTCCATTTATGAGGATTCCAAGATCGTCTTTGACATTCAGGACTTGATAGTGAACTGGAAGAGCTCTTTTCGAGGCCTATCAAGTCGTACCCTCGGTATATACTCTTTCTTGGACTTGTCAGACAACAAATTCTCAGGTGAAGTTCCGCCACCGTTAGGCAATCTCAAAGGCCTAAAAGCGCTCAACATTTCACACAACAACATATCCGGGCACATTCCAGTGTCTTTCGGTAACCTTAAGGGTGTAGAGAGTTTGGATTTGTCACACAACAAAATCTCAGGTTTGATTCCTCAATCACTAGCAAAACTGGATGAACTGACAGTACTAGATGTGAGCAACAACAAGTTGAGAGGTAAGATACCTTTGGGTGGGCAAATGAACACGATGAATGAGTTGAAGTATTTTGCCAACAACAGCGGATTATGTGGTATGCAAATTAGGATCACATGTCCAGAGGATGTCCCACCACGCGAAGGAAGAGAAGAGGATGACGAACAACAGTTATGGATTTTGTGGGAGGGAACTTGGGTCGGTTTTCCACTGGGGTTCTTCTCTTCAATCTTGATCATGGCCTATTGTTTGAATTTTCTGCAACTCTTCAGATTTTGGTGAAAATTTCAATGTTTTCTCATACTATCTTGTAATCCATCATAGGATCTATGATTTGTTGAATGGCCATTCTTAGAGTTTCTTTACTGTTTATGTTCAAAGCCTACTTCTATAAGATCGTTCACCATATTCTACACTAATATTATTGCTTAATCGGGTCTCAAATCGCCGCTAACAGTGGGTGAAAACCCACCATAGTTTCACCACGGCGGCTGTCGATTGTGGACCGTGTTTTGGTCACCATTACAAGGAGGTTTGTCGTATCAATCGATACTAATAGCCATTTATCAAACACTTACCCAGTAAGAGCAATGACAAAGACCAAGAGACTTATCCGGTAAATGAGGGTCACGGCTCTTACCCACTTGGCGCTTATAGATTGTTGCATTCGATGCCGTTTTCATTACCTTAATTGTTGCTTGAACATCGTTGAACTCGAGGCTTCAAACCCTCGATCAGCGGTTGTTGGTCTTCTCTCGTTTTCTTCTTTAGCAATGGAAATGAATGGGCATCGGTTTTGTGATAAATATCAATGAATCAGTTACGAATTTCGGAAAAGGGATAGAATCGTGATGGGGAAAGGCATAACACCAATGTTGCTCCTTATTAATCGATAACATTTTTTTTAATTAACCTGGTTATCTAATTCGCTATGTGAACCGACTAATCGCTGTTTTGCATTTGAACCTCCATGGCTATAAGGGGATTGTTATTCCTTCTCGGATTTGAACCAGACACTTTTGACATTTGGAGCCCAAGCTCAAACCAATCAGACACCACTCTTGTGGTTTAACCATTAAACTTATGACATTACGTGAATATCCATTTATAAAATGTATTGTAATAGTTATGAAAGATATAAAACGGATTTAAGGAATAACTTGACGTTTACGTCATCAGATATTACATCAAATAAAGAATCTTGAAACTTTATCATATGAATTGAGAATTCCAACATCCTTCCCCAACATGCATTCACTCTGGCTTTTGGAAGAAACAGATTTTTCAATAACAATTTCTGTGTTTTAGGAGATGATGGATTGAAAAGTGAAATGTTTGAACCACCTTATTTTAAAAAAAAAAAATATTTGTTTAAGAAAATATTTGTGTAAAAATATATAGTTAACTCATTGCCATTAAATCGGTTTTGATATATATATATATATATATATATATTTGGGTCCATTCAGAGGAGAACTGATTAGTTTGTGGTAACTGTGAGATCCAATCTCAACCACAAATCAACGGATAAATTAGAAAATTAATAATAATGGTAGTTTGAGTTAAAATTATAATTAGAGAACTTTTTTTTTTGACAGCAAAATTCAATTTATTAAGAAAGGAAGAAGACTAGCGAGGGGCTAGTTAATAGCCGAATATACAGCATCCATCGGGTTACAAATCCAATTCTCCCAACTAAAGGGCTTGCTAAAAACAAAGATACACAATGTGATATTCATTGTAATAAACAATGTGATACCCATTGTGATATACTGTGATACCGATTTCACCGGAGGCCGAAGATTGGAGGTCTGAGAGATGAGAGAGGAGAGAAGAGTTTTTAAAAAAATACCTAATATGCCCTCTAATTATAATTTTAACTCAAACTACCATAATTATTAATTTTCTAATTTATTCGTTGATTTATGGTTGAGATTGGACCTCACAGTTACCACAAACTAATCAGTTCTCGTTTGATTAGGCCTCTATATAGTGTAAATTTAAAATTATAATTTTATACGATTATGTATGTTAATTTGATAAATGTTTAAAATGGAACATTTAAAAGTAAAGAACGTAAAGTGAATGAATTAATTAATTATAAGAGTATAAAATGTAAATTTAAAATTATAATTTTATACGATTATGTATGTTAATTTGATAAATGTTTAAAATGGAACATTTAAAAGTAAAGAACGTAAAGTGAATGAATTAATTAATTATAAGAGTATAAAATGTAAATTTAAAATTATAATTTTAAAGGGGTTTTCTATCCCCACCCCCTCCTATTTCTTTCTCCCCATTTTTTCTACACCCCCATCTACATGATACAAAAAAATACATTAAAATTTATTTATTTATTTTTTCAATTTTAACCCTTAATATTTTTAGTTTTAACCCTTCAATTTTTTAAATACTTTTCTATTATATCCTCTACGTTTTTTATCTATACTATAATTACATGTATTAATTAATTATTATTATTATTAATTAATTAAGTATTAAGGATACATATTTTTTTAATAATTATATAAATTAATTAACTTTATATTATTACTAATTAATAAAGTATTAAAAATATGTATTTTTTAAATTATATATTTGTATATGAGTTTTTTTCAATATTTATACTTTATAYCTTTATAAAAATTTATTATATTTATTTACTTCTTTATTTTTATTTTATACCCTTATGATATTTATATAATTACAGTTCCATAATTAAATAAAACGATGTTCAATATTGGGTTCATTTTGAAGTTATTGTCGAGACGAACAATGATGTAACTTATTAAAAAAACACATATTTGTAACGGATTTTAGTTAATATACAATTATGTATGTTAATGTGATAAGAGTATACAACGAAAAATGAAATATTCAATATTGTGTTCACTTCAAATGTATTGAAAAAACGATTATAATAATATAATTAAATCAAATAATATTCATTATTGGGTTCATTTCAAAAAGATTGACGAGACGATTATAATGGTGTAATTTGTTAAAATAAAAAGTATATTAAAAAATGGGGAGTGCTAATGGCACCCCCAATAGGGGGTGTTGAATGCCTCAGGAATTGTAATTTATATAAGTCTTCAAATGTCAATGTCAAATAATAATAATTATGTTTTATTATTAAATATATACATACACACACACACACATATATATATATATATTTATTCAATAATATTTTTAAGTTATATTATATATTATATTATATTTTGTTGTATTATTATTATTACATATACATTCACAAATATATATATATATATATATATATATATATATCCATTGTATATTATTATGATTTTAAGTTATATTATATAACTATTATATATATAGCTAGTTATATACATAGACTTGGGATCACGTGAGACCAGTCTGTTTTCGTGAGACCCGTTAGACTACTTTTTTACACTTGAAACTTCACAGCAAAATGCTGTGAATGTGATGTTTTTAACTTTTACAGTGTTTTTGCTGTGAAAGTTCGACTTTTTTTAACCTTCATAGTGATTTTGTTGTGAAGTTTTAAGTGTAAAAATGTGGTCTCACGGGTCTCACGAAAACAGACTGGTCTCACGTGAACCCAACCCTATATACATATAATATACATAGTTTTCATTTATACATTTATACTTTTATTATTATTATTATTATTATTATTATTATATATATATATATATATATGTATTGGAAAAACAACAAAAAATATAATTATATTTTAGATTTTTTATATTTTAGAACTCGATAATTATTCTAATTATATTTTAAATTTTTTATATTTTGAAATAAGATGTTTACTCTATACTTGATTATATTTATCCGCAGTTAGTTATACATAAGCACAATTTACTTGTAATCAGATATGAAGCTTTAATAAGTTGTACCTACGCATAATTTACTTGTAATCTTGAGTTTTAAGTAATATGCATTAATAAACAGTTTATTTTTGGTTTAATATTATAAATTTTATAAAGATAATAATTAAGTATTCTGTTAGAATTTAATGATTATACTAATTATATTTTAGATTTTTTATATTTAAATGAGATGTTTATCATGTATTTGATTGTGTTTATCTGCAGTTAGTTACACGAATTCAGATATGAGATGAAATCGGATAAGGATGAAATCGTTTAAGGATGAACGAGTTTAAAAGTTTTTAAAAGTTTTAGCCAAATGCTTTATAAGATAGTATCGATTATATATTAATTAAAATATTATATAAAAATGTAAAAGAGAAAAAAAATTAACATATATATATATNTCCATCGTCGAAATCACCACACGAATGGATCGTAATTTTGCTTTTCCTTTGGGATTGACACATGGCATAATATAATTGGTTCAATTTAGATTTTTAAATCAATAACTTATACTAATGAATATATTTTTAAAATAAACTAAAATAATAATAAGACAAAAAATAATAATAACTAAAAGACAAGAAAACACTAAAACAAAAAAAAAAAAAAAACATAATAATTTAAGTAATATTAGGGGTGCCAATATCAATGTATAGGGGTGCTATTAGCCACCCCTAAAAAATGAGTATGTAAGATGAACAAGATGAATAAATGGTATGAAAATGTTTTCTAAGAATTTAATTTCGTTGTTAGATGTAATTTTAGTTAATACAAAATTATGTTTTTCAATGTGATAATGATGTAAAACGAAAATTGAAAAAATAAATTATGTACTATAAACTAAATAGATAACTATAAAAGTATAAAGTGTAAATATTAAAAATATTTTCTCATAATATATATATAATATATAATAATATAATTAAGTCAAAAACTATTCAATATTGAGCTCATTTCGAAAGTATTAACGAGACGATTATAATGGTGTAATTGGTTAAAATAAAAATCTATTTTTTTAAATATGTTTTAATTAATATACGATTATGTATGTTAATTTGATAAAAGTGTAAAATGAAAATTTTTAAAGAAAATGATGTAAAATGAATGAATTAATTAATTATAGAGGTATAAAATGTAAATTTAAATTTAAAATTTTAAAAAATTCTGCATGTAAGGGTGAGTGTATGTGAGGGAGTGAATGTATGTGAGGAGAGAAGGGGGTGAAAAATTGAGTATAAATAGTATTTTGGTCATTTAGTATTTTAAGATTTTAAGACTTTTGCTAAATTTGTTTAATAAGATAGTGTATATATATATATATATATATATATAGATTAATATAAATATTATATTTATATTATACACAATCAAAGAGTATCATCTGATAATTTCTAGACATTAAAAACTAATTTTTTTTTTTCATTTTCTGGTTTGCATCCACAGCAAAAGCGAAAATGAAAGAGGTAAACGAGGGTGGATACTACCATTAATTCGCGATTTACATCAATTAGTTTTTCCAAAACTAATCGAATCTTTTAATATGAAAGAAATCAAGAGGAAGAAAGTTTGTGATGTTGTTTTCCACAAGTCATGCGAAGAAGTCTTCTTGTCAATTATTTTTGGTTTCCACAATGACCCATCTTCCACGAGTCAAAGTAAACGCAGTCCATCCTTAAGTGCTTTGCTATGTGCTTTTTACATGGATTACAGTTGTACTGTGATAAAAAAAAATCAAATTCAAAAGTACCAGGAGGTCACAGGTTCAAATCCAAAGAGGAATAAAAATCTCATTGTGGCCACAGATGTTCAAATTTATGTTTTACATGATTACCTTTTACTTCCCCCCTACTACATTTTTCCACGGGTCCCCCAACCTCAATCGAAACCGTTAATCTAACCAAAAAATCTATTGAAATCAATCAAAAAAACCAAAAAATTATTCGAAATCAACCAAAAAACTTTAAAAATCCCTCGAAACGTTGTAATTATGTTAAAAACACATTGGACGACTTTGCAAGCCTTTAGACTACCTTAAAGGTGACCCTACTAGAAAAAAATCTTGGATCTGCCACGGCTTTCCTTGAGTCTTCTTGTGGAAGTCAAAGTAAATGTATATAGTCCATCCTAGAGATGGCCAAACACGATTAAGGACAGGCGATGGATGGGACTAATTGTTATGGGCGGGAACCAGTTAAGGCCCAGTGGTTTGGGATCATTTACGAGATTTCTGTAAATTCAAAGCCCGACTTGCAAGTGGTTATGGAACTATGACTGGGACCAATTATTTATAGGGAGTGATTTTCAAGTTCTTTTCGGGACAATACACCCCTTCCAAAACACCCTAACATGCTATATTAGCAAGGCGCTAGAAAAGATACAATACAGTTAAAACAAAGCTAACGGATTACAACCTCATCTAGACCAATCAATATTACATTTAGATCTAAATTTAATCCAAGTGACAAGCATAGCTTGAGAATCCACCATCACTGCTTCCCACGACAACCCCATCCGACATTCACATGCAAGCCTCCTTCATCCATGTCTTTTTATTTGTGTATTTTTTTCGAATGTGGAGAACCAAATCATTGCAAAACATTGGATCCAAGTCAATTATTGAATAGGACATTCAACTTCTGGTAAAAGTAAACGTATATAGTCCATCGTACCGGTTGTTAGGCTTAGGATCAATCCTATGATTTTTGATCGGGACCGATCAGTCACTCCAATCATTTGGAACCGGGACTGGTCCAACCCGATCATTGACTATATTTAATTTACTATCATACTCCTTAAATCGTATTAAAAAGTACTAAAATAATATCAAAATCTATAAATCAGATATTATATTCGAAAGAACATATTTATTTAGGAACGCATGAACAACCTATATTGTGAGTATTCGTCATGAATATTATCCATCATGAATGTGTACCACAACATTCTTTATGAATACTCACCAAATAGGTTACCACTACATTTCTAAAACATTTGAACTATTTAAAACATAAAACCAAATTAAAATATAGAACCTTATTTGTGATGCATGTATTATTATGCTTTTTTGTTTTCCTCAGTTTCGCCCGTAAGGAACTGATCTCTACCTTTGCCGTTGAGTTTTAGCCGCTATGTGACGAATGTTTTTGGTCTTTTTTCTATTTATTTTATTAAATATTTTGATTTATATATATAAACTAAAGTAAGTTTTGTCGCATTTTGCCTTAAATAAATAGAAGAGCCATTTACTAAACACTCACCGGTAAATGCTTACTGATATCACTTTTTTTACAGATTGAGCATGGAAAGGACCGAAATTCTTGTACTACTAAATGGAAGACTTTTACCTACCGAGATTTCCCCGGGAAATTCGTCACTGAAAGGGGATTCATTACAAAGTTGTCACAAAAATTGGTGGATAAATTGTTGGTGGATAAAGGTGGGAAACTCAAATCAGTGACATATTCCCAGGCCCTACTTGGTAATTTGTGGGGATTTGTGGAAAAATATCGGATTCTACTGGAACCTTTGGTATTTTCTAGGTAATCCGTTGGTAATCAATGACCAAAATTTATCTGGATGATTTTTGTGGGTAAAAGTCATTTGTTTTGTAATGTAATTCGATAAGACGTATAACAAGAACCGAGAGTCTTACCCGATAAGTGAGAGACTAGACTTTTACCTGGTAAGCGCTTACCGGGTTTAAAATGGTAAGTGAAGTTGATGACTTTTGTTAGTAAACGCTTACCCGATGAATGTTTGGTAAACGACCCTTTAGCCTGGTATGTACCACGTTTTTTCTTTTGTATTATCAACCAATTATAATTGATATGTATAATTTTATACCATGTATCAATTGTTTTCAATTGGTACATATTTTATTTATTCAAAGAAATTATTGACATATACCAAAACCTTTTTCAAACTCATGCCCATTGATTTGACATGCAAATGGTACACCATCACAAATCATTTATGTTTATAAGTTGCAGATCCATCTTTCAACAAAGACACTACCCTACTCTCCATTTACAAATCCCTATCACCATGGCCACCACCCTAAACACACCACTCTTAGTCTTGTTCATAGTCACTTTCATTCTAATTCCATCATTCTCTTGTCCTCTTCATCACAAACAAGCTCTTCTCAATTTCAAATCCAACCTCACCAATTTCCTCCATTTCAATTATGATATGAATCTTCATCCACTTCCGTCATGGAGTTRCAATTCCGATTGTTGCTCCTGGGACCATGTTAGTTGCAGCAAAACCAGAACCATCACCAAGCTCCACCTATCCAACATCACACATACATTTGACAATCCGACCGCGGTGTTCTTTGATGTCTTGACTCCGCTTTTCCATATCCGATCATTGAAACTACTTGATATCTCGAGGAATTCGTTTGTAGGCGAGATCCCAGGAGATGGGTTTGGAAATCTCACCCAACTGGTCCACCTTGACATGAGTGAAAACGAGTTTAAGGGCTCCATTCCCTACCAAATTTTTGGGTTGACGAACTTATGTTACCTGGACATGAGCTTAAATAGGTTCGAGGGAAACTTTCCACCTGAATTTTGGAATTTGACTTCTCTTCGAGTTCTTCATCTAAGAGACAATGGGCTTAATGGTATTTTAAGCCCTGAAGTTGGTAAGCATCAAAATCTTGAAACGTTGAAACTTGGTAGTAATTATCTTACCGGAAACATCCCAGAAGAGATTGGAAATCTGACGAAGTTAAGAAAGCTTTCTCTTCAACATAATCAGTTCTCTGGTAGAATCCCTTGTTCGATTGCCAACATGAAAGACTTGGAAATGCTTTATTTATCTCATAACTCATTCTCCATGCAAATTCCAAATGGCATAGGAAGACTGCCCAACATGACCACACTTGTCCTGCACAACAACCAGTTAACGGGTCCGATACCATCATCGATCCAAAACTTGAGCAACTTACAAACCCTTCTTCTCCAAAGGAACAAGCTAACCGGAGAAATCCCAACTTGGATATTCAACATCACAACATTGGACAGTTTGTTCCTTGGTGGTGGAAAAGGAAACAAGTTGATTTGGAATGACAAAGTAAAGATTGTTCCAAGATGTAACCTAAGAGCAATCTCTATGCCTTCCTGTGGAATTTCTGGCCAAATTCCTGAATGGATTTCAACACAAAAATTCTTGGATTATCTTGATTTAAGCATGAATCAATTCGAGGGAAGATTTCCATATTGGCTCACCGAAATGGACGTAGGAAGCATCATCCTATCCAACAACAACCTCACTGGATCTATCCCACATCGCCTATTTGAATCTACACTTTTATCTATTCTTATCTTGTCCAACAACAATTTTTCTGGGAAGTTGCCAGACAACATCGGCAATGCCACATCCATGAGGGTGCTTATGTTGTCAAGAAATAATTTTTCCGGACAGATTCCAATATCCATGTCCAACATGCACGAACTCAACGGTCTTGACTTGTCTGGAAACAAATTTTCAGGCCACAATCTCCCTGTTTTTAGCAATAATCCTAAATTGTCTTACTTAGACTTGTCATACAACGAGTTCTCTGGTAACATCCCAACCACTTTTCCTATAAATATAGTAATTCTTTATTTGGGTGGGAATAAGTTTTCTGGCAAGCTGCCTTGGAATTTTACTAAATTGGTCAATCTTCGATACCTCGATCTTCATGACAATGATATTACAGGATCTTTCCAAGATGTTCTTCCTGAAAGCCCACATCTTCAAGTTCTTGTTCTAAGAAACAATTCCTTTGAAGGATCTATCCCAACAACAATCTCCAACTTCACTAATCTTCAAATCCTTGATCTCTCTAAGAACAAGCTAACAGGTAGTATACCACAGGAAATATCGAACCTCACAAGAATGATCGAAATTCCAGAGCCAACATTCAGTTACATGTTTGATTCATCTTTTGAGCTTGAAATTGAAATGGATAGCAGCTTAATGTACATTCACGTTGAGGACTTGATAGTGAATTGGAAGAACTATTTTCATGGCCTATCGAGTCAAAACCTTGATATGTACTCTTTATTGGACTTGTCGAACAATAGAATCTCAGGTGAAATTCCTGCATCGTTAGGGAATCTCAAAGGCCTAAAACTGCTCAACATTTCAAACAACATCCTCTTCGGAGACATTCCGGTGTCTTTTGGAAATCTTAAGGTAATAGAGAGCCTGGATTTGTCACATAACAAAATCTCAGGTACGATTCCTCAATCACTAGCAAAGCTGGGTGAACTCACAATTCTGGATGTGAGCAACAACAAGTTGTTCGGTAAGATACCTCTAGGTGGGCAAATGGACACCATGAATGAGTTGAAGCATTTTGCCAACAATAGTGGATTATGCGGTATGCAGATTATGATCAAATGTCCGGAGGATATCCCACCATCAGAAGGAAAAGAGGAGGCCGAAGATGACGAGAAACTATCATGGATTTTCTGGGAGGGAACTTGGATCGGTTTTCCGATTGGGTTCTTCTCATCAATCTTGATCATGGGCTACTTACTGAATTTTCTTGTGCTCTTCAAAATATGGTGAGGGTTTGTAGGAGTGGTCCATTCATTGCTCAATGTTTTTTCATACTATCTTATAATCAGTAGTAATATCTAAATATTTTCGATTTCTTGTGATTATAATTCGTAATGTTGGAAGGCTACAGCCTCGTGTGTTTCTCGTAACGACAACTCGTCTCCCTACATATATTTGTTCTAATAACAAGAAGTAAGAATCCAAACAGATTGGTGGGGGGATAGCATTCGTCTAAGACATTAGTCATTATTCTCGTTTCAATCACTACTAGAAAACAAAGTATCAGCGACAGAAAAAATTACGGTCATTCCCTTGCTGATCTCTCGCTGATCAGCGAGGGATTTTATCTGTCGTTAATTTTCATCGTTGATACTTTGTTTTATAGTAGTGTTGGTCATTTTTCTGTCACTATAAATAATCCAACGTTCACCAAAGAGAAGGGGGAAAAATGTGTTCATTCTACTGCATAAACCTCATAACATGCCCCCATTGCATCAAACAACATCAACTCGTATTAAATTATATTAATGAATTGAAAAATTCTAAAAAACCCAATAATTTTTTTAATTTTGAATGATTTAGTTTCTAAAATATTTTTTTAAAATGAAAAAACCATTAAAACTTTTTTATTTTAAATGATTAAGTCATTGAACTATTTTTTTGAATGAAAAAAATTGAACTTTCGCATTTTTTATTATTAAGACCCTGATTTTTTTTTTATAAAAATAAATGAACCATTAACTCTTTACCAGTTGGCTAATGTAACTTTTTTTGGATTAAAAGAACGTATATAACCTATTTTTAAAAGTGGGATGATTTATTTACTAAAAAAATGTATAGGAATTTAAACAATCAAAATTTATAAAAATTTAATGATTTTTTCACTGAAAAAATAGTTCAAGGAATTAATTATTCAAAATGAGAAAGTTTAATAGTTTTTTATTCAAAAAAATAGTTTAAGAACTAAACCATTCAATCGGTTTTTTAAACTTTTCGCTTAATTATTTTATATTTTTTTAACTAAAAAATAAATATTTTGATCTGTATATTTAATACAAATAGTCCATGGTGATTATTTGCAACCCGTTCTAAAATCTCTATAGCAAGAGGTCAGTTTTCACATTTATTTTATTAACCTGAATATTCAATCCGTTATGAGAGCCGACTAATCCTAGGACGACCATCCGCTTCGTGGGTAGTCCAGACTCACGCATTTGAACTGCCATGGCCACAGGGAGGTTTTATTCCTTCTTAGATTCGAATCTGGGACCTCTAGACACTTTTGACCTTTGGAACCCAATCTCAATCCAATCGGGCAACACCCTTAAGAAATGCACTTTTCGGGCCAACAAATGTAATAGCTAAAAAATTGTCTTTGGTTGTTTCTCCTTCATCCAAAACCCCTAAAACAAACATCTATCACATTGCTTTGGATTTCTGGAGCCATTTTAATAGACGTCAGTTCGTATTCCAGCCTTTTCTGAATCGAAATGCATACGTTTGTCTCCTACACTATAGGGATGGGGGAATCTGCCGTTTCGGTTACCACAAAATAGTATATTTCTTTAATGTTTATGTTCAACGTGTACTTCTATAAGATCCTTAATCATCTCATTTCTTTTATTATCACATTTCTTAATAATCTTAATAATCTTATTCAATGTGTTTTTATTTGTGTGCTTTTTCCGAATTTGGAGAACCAAATCATTGCAAAACGTTGGATCCAAATCAATTATGGAATCCTGGTATGAACGAAAAATGACATTCCACTTAATAAATCACAAGTTTGCCTGCCGTTTATCCAAATGCTTATTTGGTAAGCGTTTATTCTATTGATATTCTAATTTGTTTTAAGGGGTAAGATTGTAGTCCATGAAAATGGTATTTATCAAACAATTTTACACGGTAAACGTTACCAGTAATGGTCAACAATCTAACTTTTACCAGGTAAGATTGTAGTACATCAAGATGGTATCATATGTAACAATTTACCTAGTAAACTTTTATCGGATAAAATTTGTCACTCTCACGTATCAAATAAGACTCTCTATCCTTATCATCGCTCTTACCCAATAAGATTTTCAACTCTTGTCATGTTCATCCGTAAAATAAACGACCATAGTAAACGACCCGAGTGAATTAAAAAGGTTATTATTATGAATATCGTTATTTACATTTCAATATATTAAATCAAATCAAACCTTTGTTAATAACACCAAAAAAGCTGTAGTTAAATGAGAAGACGAGTACGCAGTACATCCTGCAACATTAATTAGTTCCCATTTACAACAATATCTCAATTCCTTCATAAATAAACCATTTTTTTTATATATAGAAGGAACCACCGCAAACCACCATGGTCACCACCATGGCCACACCATTCTTGTTCTTATCGTTCTTCTACATATTCAATTCCATTCCAATCCCATCATTCTCTTGTCCTCTTCATCAAAACCAAGCACTTCTCCACTTTAAATCCACTCTCCTCCTCAATATCGATCCTACCTCCGTTTATTTTGATCCGGATCAATATGATTCATGGAGTCCCATTTCCGATTGTTGTGCATGGAACCTTGTCAATTGTAGCACAACCAGAACCAGAGCTGTCACCGAGCTCCACCTATCAACAGCCATCCCTTTGTTTGGCAGTGCGGTTCGCAGGTCCTTTGACATCTTAACTCCGCTTTTCCAGATTCGGTCATTGAAACTACTTGATATCTCGAGTAATGGTTTGGCAGGCCCCATCCCTAAAGATGGGTTCAGAATCTCACTGAACTGGTTCACCTTCACATGGGGGGAAACGAGTTTAATGGCTCCATTCCTGACCAAATTTTTGGGTTAACGAATTTACGTTACCTGAACATGAGTGGAAATTCGTTTGAGGGAAACTTGGGTCTTGAACTCGGGGGTTCTTTTTGGAATATGACTTCTCTTCGACTTCTTGATCTAAGTGACTGTCATCTTAATGGTGTTTTAAGCCCTGAAGTTGGTAAGCTTCAATATCTTGAATGGTTGGATCTGAGGAACAATTCTCTTTCGGGAAACATCCCAGAAGAGATTGGAAATCTGACAAAGTTAAGGGAGTTATACCTCGCAGATAATAAGTTCTCCGGTGGAATCCCTTCTTCAGTTGCCAAAATGATGGATTTAGAAGTCGTTGATTTATCTGATAACTCATTCTCCAAGCAGATCCCAACTGGGATAGGAAGACTGCCCAACATGACCACAATTGTCCTACACAACAACCAGCTCATGGGTCCGATACCATCATCGATACAAAACTTGAGCAAGTTAAAAGTCCTTCATCTTCAAAACAACAAGCTAACCGGAGAAATCCCAATCGGGTTATTCAAAATCGTCACCTTATGGAGTTTGTTCCTGGGTGGAAGAGGTAACAAGTTGATTTGGAATAACAAAGCAAAGATTGCTCCAAGGTGTAGCCTAGCAGAGATCTTTATGCCTTCCTGTGGAATATCCGGCCAAATTCCTGAATGGATTTCATCACAAAAAGATTTGAATCGTCTTGATTTGAGCGGGAACCAGTTGGAGGGAAGATTCCCATATTGGCTCGCTGAAATGGACGTTCGAACCATATTCCTCTTTAACAACAAGCTCACTGGATCAATCCCGCATCGCCTATTTGAATCTAAAAGTTTAACTCTTCTTCACTTGTCCAACAACAAGTTTTCTGGGGAGTTGCCACAGAACATAGGCAACGCCAAAGCTATGAGCATTCTTATGTTGTCAAGAAATAATTTTTCGGGACAAATTCCAATATCCATGTCCAACATGCACAACCTACGACTTCTGGACTTGTCCACGAACAAATTTTCCGGCGACAATTTGCCTGTTTTTAGCAATAATCCGTATTTGTTTTACTTAGACTTGTCGTACAATGAATTCTGTGGTAAGATCCCAACGACTTTTTCTACAGAAACCCAAGTTCTTTATTTGGGTGGGAATAAGTTTTCTGGAAACCTGCCTCGGAATCTGACTAAATTAGTCGGCCTTCGACATCTCGATCTTCATGACAATGATATTACAGGATATTTCCATGATGTTCTTCCTGAAACCCCAACTCTTCAAGTTCTAGTCTTGAGAAACAATTACTTTGAAGGATTTATCCCAACAACAATCTCCAAATTCACTAATCTCCAAATTCTTGATCTCTCTGGTAACAAGCTAACAGGTAGTATTCCAGTGGAAATAGCAAATCTCACAAGAATGATCGAAACCCCGGTACACAAGTCAACATCCCCTAATCTTTACATTTCCCCATATTGCGACCCAGTCCACATTGACTTTGAGGACTTGATAGTGAATTGGAAGAACTCTTTTCAAGGCTTATCGAGTCATAGCCTTGATATATACTCTTTGTTGGACTTGTCGAACAATAGAATCTCAGGTGAAATTCCGGAATCATTAGGGAATCTCAAAAGCCTAAAAGAGCTCAACATTTCAAACAACAACATCTCCGGGCATATTCCAATGTCTTTCGGCAATCTTAAAGGAATAGAGAGCTTGGATTTGTCACACAACAAAATCTCAGGTTCGATTCCTAAATCGCTAGCAAAGTTGGGTGAACTTGCAATTCTGGATGTGAGCAATAACAAGCTGACCGGTAAGATACCTGTTGGCGAGCAAATGAACACAATGAATGAGTTGAAGTATTTTGCCAACAACAGCGGATTATGTGGTATGCAGATTATGATCAAGTGTCCAGAGGATATCCCACCATCAGAAGGAATAGGAATAGGGGAGGATGACGAGAAACTATCATGGATATTTTGGGGGGGAAGTTGGATCGGTTTTCCAGTTGGGTTCTTGTTATCAATCTTGATCATGGGCTACTCACTCGACTTTCTTCAACTCTTCAAAATCTGGTGAAAATGTGTAGCAGTTGTCAGTTCATTGCTCATTCTCATTCTCATTCTCCGTCTTGTAATCCATCTTGAATCCTAAGATTTTGAATTCTTCATGAGTACAGTTCATAACTTATGTGACGTGTCCAACAATAGAATCTGGGGTGAAAATGTTGTTTGTTTTTGTTGTATAAACCGACGGGTTTCAGTTTCGTGGTATAAAACGACCGGAGAAAGATGACCGGAAGGTGAACAAAAAATGGAGAGGGTGGTCGGAGGATGAAGCAAACCGATTGGGTCTATATTTCATAAATATTCCCCTTAAATAATAGCATCCATGTTTGTAACATAAAATGTTCGTAAAAGAAAATTGTTGTTTTTTAGATTACGGTTTACGTTTAAAGTTTATAATTTGTTGTTGTTTACGTCCCTAAACCTAACTCCGTCAGTGATTTATTGTTAAGTATAGATATATGAAAGAGTATCATGCCTTACAAAAACTAAACGGTTTGTGGCAACATTCATTTTTTGCAGATAAAAAAAAACAATTTGAATTTTCTCAATTTATGCCTTACAAAAACTAAACTATATCTATATCTATACTATATTATAAAGCATTTGATAAAAACTCTTAAAAACCATTTTTTATGTATAAAGTACTGTTTGTTGATGCATATTACTTAAAATTCAAGATTACAAGTGATTTTGCGTAAGTACAACTTATTAAAGCTCCATTTTTAAATTCGTATAATTAACTACAAATAAATATAATCAAATACAAGATAAACATTTATTTTAAATATAAAAAATAAAAAATATAATTAAGATAATCATTGAGTTTCTAGCAGAATGTGTAATTATTATCTTTAATAAAAATTATATTATTAAACCAAAAATAAATTACTTAGTTATTAGACGTAAATTAAATTACAATAAAATTTGAATTAAATAACTTACACAAAAAAAACAAGAACTATTAAATAGTTAATTTAATACTAATATTGATTTTATTTTTTTCACTTTTTTTATGCTATATTCAAATTTATATTTTATTAAAACATAAAAACATTATTGCTTTCTTAAACAACATAAAATCATATTATATCGATAGAGACAAATAATAAAAACTAAACATTAAAATGAATATTTATCTCGCTGCATTGCGCGAGTACKCTTCTAGTATATATATATAGCTTGGTTCAAATGTTAACCAAGATTATTGTGTTAACTTTATTAACCAAACTCAACCAATAAAAATCCATCTTTTTTCTAGGTTTATATTTATCTCATAATTTAATGACAAGGATAAATATGTAATTTTAGTTTGTATGTAACTCCCATATAATTAATTGGGAGTTACATAATAAAAAAATCTCATAATTGTTGTTGATTTACTATTGATCTTGTTTTTCTATAATATTAATTTATCTATCTATAATGTTCTTGAATTTGATTGTTAAAGGAAACCTGATAGTAAAGTTTTCGATATCGTTCAAGCTAATATGGATAAAACCATTGGAAAACAACTTGACAACAATGAGAATGTTAAAATAGTTTACGATGACAATCGGACTTCGAGTTCTGGAAGCGAAAACAATTATCAAAGCGTTTGTATTGGTAATGGATTAATATGTTATTGTATTCGTTTTAATCGAAATTATGTTGATTATGACGTTTTTGTGTTTTTTTATAGTTTATATTGTGTTGGTAGTTTTTCTTTAATTATTACTACGAGCCCAATTCATATGTTCAAATGGAATTAGTTCATCGTCAACTTAATTTGTTATGCAACCAATTCTGATAACCATTCGACTCCGTCAACTGCTTGTGATGTTTGACCTGCCATAGACTGCAACTAGTATTCATATACGTTCAGGTGTGTTCATATATGTTCTAGTAGGAACATGAATCAATACATCTAATATTGAATTTATAATTTTTGTTAATTTATTATTGATCTTTTTCTTTATAATATTGATTTTTCTATCTATAATGTTTTTGAATTTGTGATTGGTAGAAGAGACCCGGTAGTAAAGTTTTCGGTATCGTTCAAGCTATTATGGATAAACTCGTTGTTAATAAGGAAAAAACTATTGTTCACAAGTGTTCATATGTACACTAGCTGCTTATCTCAATATTGTCTCGTTCTTGAATGTGTTCATAATGAAGGAACTATTGTTCATAAGTTGTTCATATTGTGTTCATACATGTTTTTTTTATTTATTTCCTTTCGTATAACATGAATTCTTATTATGTTCATAAATGCTATGCAGTCCAAGTTCATATATATGTCAATTTTTGTTCGTATTTGACACGATGGTTTATATTTATATATATATATATATGTGTGTGTGTGTGTGTGTGTGTGTGTGTGTTCATATGGTTCTTATATTAACAAAAATAATGAGATTTTTTGATTTTGTAACTCCCAATTAATGATATAGGAGTTACATACGTTTTTTTTACCTAAATATCATTTTTCCCTTTGTTCACATATGTTTTTTGAAATTGTAAATTTAAAAAATTAATTTTTTATCATAACTAATCACAAGCGTTTATTGTAAGAATCAATGACCAAGATTGATTAACAAAGTTAACACAATAATCTTGGTTAACATTTGAACCAGCCCCTATATATATATATATATATATACTAGTTGTGTACCTGCGCAATGCTGCGAGAGCCATGAATTTTAATGATTTTGAAGTTCCACTGGTTTTATAAGATAAGATTTAACGATGATATAGGTTACACTTGGTCTTTACACATTAATACAATTTGAATAAATAAGAGTTATGGTTCCAATTACAAACTATCGATAAAAAAAATTGTATGACAGTTTAAAATCCAATATATTTAAAATCCAATATATTTAAAATCCAACATATCTAAACGACTCCACAAATGTATTCGATTTACACCAAGAGCAAAGAACCAAAAAACTTGAGTTTTAAGATAAACACTCAAAACCAATAAAGAAAACTACAAATTTGACAGATCATAAGCCATGGAAAGACAAAAAGAGATGGGTTTTAGAATGAAATTTCAACTGCTTACCCTCTTTCTTGTCCATAAACTCATATTAAGGTTGATTAATACATGTATATATATATATATATATATATATTTCAAAAAAAACCCAAGAACATATTAATTCAAGGGATTTTTATTAAAATAACCATTTTATACAACATTTTGCCACAAAATAACCAATTTTTAGAGGTTTTGTGTTTTTGACCACCCAGATCTACCATTTCATACGGATCGCCCTATGGGTAGATCTGGGTGGTCAAAAACACAAAACCTCTAAAAATTGGTTATTTTGTGGCAAAAGGTTGAATAAAATGGTTATTTTAATAAAAATCTCTTAATTCAAAACCTATTATACAATGCAATTTGAATGGTCTAACCCCAAAATATATAGTATATATATAAACAAATAACTATAAAAGTATAAATAGTAAATATTAAAAATATTTTTTCACGGTATATATGATATATAATAATATAATTAAGTCAAAACTATTCAATATTGGACTCATTTTGAAGGTATTAACGAGACGATTATAATAGTGTAACTTGTTAAAATAAAAATGTATTTTTTAAACATGTTTTAATTGATATACGATTATGTATTTTAATTTGACAAATGTTTAAAATGAAACATTTAAAAATAAAAGACGTAAAATTAATTAATTAATTAATTAATTATAAGAGTATAAAGTGTAAATTTAAAATTATAATTTTAAATTGGGTTTCTATCCCCACCCCCTCCTATTTCTTTCCCCCTATTTTTTCTACACCCTCATCTATATGATACAATAAAATACATTAAAATTTATTTATTTATTTTTTCAATTTTAACCCTTAATATTTTTAGTTTTAACCCTTCAATTTTTTAAATACTTTTCTATTATATCCTCTACGTTTTTTATCTATACTATAATTACATATATTAATTAACTATATATTACTAGAAGCGTACTCGAGCAATGCAGCGAGATACATCGTGATTTTAATATTT